ATTCCTGAATGATATCACTCTCTAACAGTTCCTTGTTTTCCTTTTCCTCCTATGGCGGCGGTTGCAAAACTATTTGCCTAGTTCTCCCTCGAAACATTAGCTGCGCAGGAGCCGTCCCGAAAGAACTAGATGAATGCGGAGCGGTGGCCGTCTGGAGAACTGATTCATAGTGCTTGGCGAGCGCCAGCGTGGAAGAAGTGATTAAGAACGGGAACTTGAACCCTCCGCGCTCTCTCACTGCCCCTCCCCATTCCTTGAGAAGGTTTTTCATAATGCGGGAAGAGGAAGTTCTCTAGTCTTGAGACTAATGCCCTATTATTAGCTGACTCAGTTTTCATAAATGATGGAATGTTCATCGTGAATAACTCATACTCTGATAGCACATTTCGTGCACTTCCTCTGGAAAGTTCAGTCTTCTGAAAATGTACCTCACCCGGATCGTTGTTTGCTCCTTATCATTGCTCAGCTGGGTACTCGTTACAGCCTCCTTTGTCCCTGCAGATTTCACAGTAGCCGAATGGGTCTTCTCCTTTCGAAGAATTCCTGCAGTACCAGAAAAAAGACTTGGAATAAATCAACAAGGTTTTCGAACTGTTTTGGGTTTTCCTTGAAATTTGAATCGATGACAAAAGAAGACTGAAGTTTCTACTTCCTCTGGGATGCACTACATATCCTACTTTTAATTAGGATCGTAGTGGCTTGTAAAATACGATAAGGCCCAAACCTGGTGAGGACCAGCCGACAAGTCAATGCTTTTCTCCTACCAGACGAATCCGGTACCAATTCGCCTTTGCTAACGGTAGAAGGCCTTGTTGCCCTTGAATAGGATACGATCCGGCATTTGCCCCGGACCCGCGCGTACTAAGCGGCCACTTGCCAGAACACCACCTCAGCCAGGCAGCAATGGCATTAATTGTCCGTGATCTAATATAGTAATGAAATTATACAAAATTTCCTGGGCAGTGATAAGGCCTGCGATGTTCTACGGCAGTGAGTGCTGGCCCATATGCAATAACCATGAAAGGAAGCTACACATAGCTGCAACGAGGATACTGAGATGGGCCTTGGCTGGTCAGGACTAGACAGAGTCAAGAACGAAGACTTTAGGATACTTACACATTCGGCCCCAATCCAGCTGAAGGCGCGAGAGCAGCGACTGGTGATGGGCAGGTACTGTGGAGCCTGAGAGTCGCCCAGTAAGGAAATCGATAGACTTCGAAGTACAGGGCAAGCGACCTCGAGGGCCCAAAAAACGAGAATGCCAGGGAGAAGAAGAGTGAAGTTTTGTGCTGTCTTGCAAGCACCTCTTGTAAGATGTTGTTCAGTGTACGCCTTGGTATGGTCAGCGGGCACGCGTAGATTTTTGTTGGTTTGTTGAGCGGAGGGCTACTGTCCGGCGTTCCTTGCTTTGGCATTTCACTTTCCTCTTACCACGCTCCACGACGCTATTTTTTTCCTACGTACTATTTGTTTTTAGAATTTTCTTGAACTATCTAGAACCTTAACAGCTAAAGACGTGCACCCCCTATCACGGTGGGGTCAGAGTCCATAATGCGATCTTCCTCACCATTCCATGCCAACAACAACCAAAACTAACTTTTTCGAAATGACTTCTCAGGTGTATTTTATTTGCAAAATCAAAATTTCCACGTGCAACTTAGATTCAACGAAGCTATCGAAGTGCGCGATTTCTGCATGTTCCACTTGTCTTCGTTTTGTATTACAGTTTTCACGAGGCAGTCTGGCATTCGAATTAATGGGTGTTCTCAGCCGTCTTCTTGACAGACATTTTACCATATAATCTGTCCTTTTGGGCTGGAAATAACTTGGTTTCTTAAAGCTGCGCAGCAATTGCTATGTTCACTATCTCACACATCTTCTTCGAGCCTTTTAGCTCAAGACATCCCAGCAATTTGCACTCATAATTCTGTCTAATCAGCTTTGTAACTATGCGGACGTATTCGTTCGTGGTGAGATTGCTATGGACACTTCCTTACTCGCGTAGCCATTATTGTCAGTTCTGTTGAAAATCAAATGTCATGATTAAAAATTAGGACAATTAGTGGGCAACTAGGTGGGATGGAGGCTGAAGTCGCAAGTAATTGCAAATCCCATTTGGGACTCCCACGATGCTAGTGAGTCTGCAATCATGCTAATTTTCCACTGTTCACTTGCATTCCGATTGATGTGTGTGGAAGTTCGAGTAAGGTCGCTGTAAATAACTGGCGGAACGGTCTACAGACAGTTCTAAGTTTACCCTACTAAATGCATCGATTTTCTGTTTTTCTCTCACTCACGGCTTCGTATGGCATTCTAAGGTTATTGCTGACGATCACCAATGCCAGATGAGCGGTACAGGATCAGTGATGTGTTGGAAATGCGTTGTGTCAGTGCCCACCTCCTCCCACCCCCACCTAAAAGCAGTGGTCTCGGTCGACCCTCCCTTTTCCCCAGACACCAGAACGAAAAAATTTCTTAGCCGTTTTCCCCACTTCCTACTCACTTTCCGGGATTTCCCGAACATTTCGTCTACTTCTCCCCAAAAAATTTTCCGTCAGTAGGAAGGGAAGGGAAGAGGGTATATAGTACCACATGAAATATAGGGAAAATCGCGGAGAATAAAGCGCATAAAAACCGCGGAAGGTTTTCTCACACGCGGCAAATTCTCTCTCAAAGCCACACGACAGACCTTCCTGCTCCAACAAGCGACCAAATACGACTCCCTCTCCAGCGGAAAAGTACGATCCCCAATGTGTTCCACACAACGAGGCTGTACCCTGTTCCAAATTCTCATGATAGGTAGCTCACCCATCCCGGAGTCCTCTGCTTTTGAAGGAGCCCCTTTTTCGCTCGGCGCATGTTTCTTGCACATTTCGATGCTTTGGCAGCCGCTGAACTCAGTCTGTCTTCGTTACATGTTTACGCAACCGAACCATGCACAAAAGTTCGAGACGTCACGCAAACCTGGCGGAACATCCTTCAGATGTTAGTGCTCAATCCATGCAGGACGGCCTGCTACGCGTTTATTCACCGGTAGAGCGTGAAGTCGGATTTGAGAGGAGGACTATGAAATCGTAAAATATTTGCTGTGCTTGAAACTGTAAGTAGGCAAGACGCCATAAGTGTCAGTGAGATCGCAGGTCGAAATTGCACTTTCATGCTGCCGATCCTGTTCCGGCAATTGTTTGATCCTTACGGGTCAAAAGCAGGCCATCATTGTCTTGTAGCTGGTGGAGCTTTGAAGCGGATATCGACAAAATTTCCACAAACGAGAATCTCAAACAAAGAAAGCGATAATTTGATCTCGTTCACAGTTCGCAGCAACAGGCGACTCAGGCACAACTGTCAACGGAACACATATGATAAATACATGAGCAAGAACACCGGACCGTAATCAACTTCTTAAGGTGGCTTAAAAATGCGGAGGCGGAAGTGGCGCATGTCTCTTCACTTCAACTACAGCATATGGTCTTCGAAATCCGTTGCTGATCTTACGGTCTTGTCAGTGCGTCTTGACACGGAAGCCTAAGGACAAACCACTTAAACCATTCATCTTAAAGGAGCGGTCCGCGATGACCTATGAAAATGCAAGAGGTTATGTGGGAGGGTAGTGCAGTCCGGAGTGGACAACCCTGTGCCAGGTTCGCGGCTGAAAAGTTCTACGGTAAAGGGATTAAAGCGTAAAGTTGCTTCAGTGGACATCCCTCTTTTTCCAGGACTCCGCCTCCAGGGTGCTTGGCCTCCAAAGCGCGGCCGTTCCAGGCCAGAAGCTCCAAATGCTTCCGGGGCGAATAATCATGGTGTGGATGCATTCATCCGAATGGTCTCGTGTAGTTCATAGGGCTTCCATTACTGAGCGAATCAGCAACACGGAATTCAGCACGGATTTTTCGCGTCTTTTACCTTGACAGTTGTTGGGACTAGCGAGGAGGCCTGTGCGAATGCGTTTTCAGCGTCACCTTTGCTTTCTCTTCATAGCATCTGGTTCATTCGCAAATTTTCTTCCACCTTTCTGCAAAATCACCTAGGCTATTTATTGCGGACCGTGCCTTTAATAATTATTTGTTACACGGCCACTTGGACTGTGATGGTCCCCAGCTAGATCGTCTGACTGCGCCACAATTCTCGTCTTTTCGATTGGCCATTTTCAGAATAGCAAAGCTGCCGCCTTCGGGCTATAGAGTGTCCTCTGAGCCGTGGACCACTGAGGCTAAGTCGCCAAAGCGGATTTAGTCGTGGAATCCCTTAGCGCGCCGTCCGATCAAGCCGTCAAGCTAATCCACTGAGTGCTACTGTTTGTTCAGTGGAAATTTTGTTCGAGCTTCTTTCTGGATAATGTACTGCGGGCGTAATCTTTTCTACATCCTCCTATGGCTGCTGTAGCATTTTGCGCGGCTGAACGAAGAAGCTATCGGGGGCCCTGAGTCAGCCGTCTGAAAGCAACGGCACCACAGCAGAACACAGACGCCACTGCTATACATCGCGATACAATTGTTGAACTCTTCGCATTTCTCTCTTCAGTTTTTCTTATTTCGATCCAGGAAAGCGAAATCTTCAAGGTCTCCCTTCATCAGAGTAACCCCAATTTATCATCGTTCACTTCTGAATCGTTCACTTCTCCTATTTCACCAGCCCCATTTCCATCAAAACATTGTGATTCCTACTGCTATCGATCTTTGCAAGTCTGCAGAGAAACGCTGCTGCTCTCTTTCTAGCGTCTCTGTATAAAGCTGTCTCTGTAGGCAACGCTACAGCCGGTAGGAAGTATTAGGGGATATCGATTTTCGTTCTGATAAATAAATTCTGGCTATTTACCAAACCATAGAACCTAAAAAAGACACCCCGCCCTTTTGGTTTACCTAAGCCCGCCTATTTCCAAGAAGGTCACGGAATACCTATGATACTGGTTGAAAAAAACCTTGTTCGTTCTTTCCCATGCTGTATGTGCCCAAAAATCAAATATTTTAGATCAAAATGTCTACGACGATCGTCGCTCTTCCATGTACAAGGAGCTAGAGCAACAGCTGAACAGAGTGTTCCCCTCAACGCAGTCAAAGATGGAATCAGGTTGGATCCAATCTCATTAAAATGTTCAGAAATGAAGTAATTCATGTCCGCTTCTCCCTTCGCGGCGTGCCGGGCGTACAGCTTCTATATGCTCTTTTCTCCGCCTTGCACAACTTCGTTTATATTACGACACGCTTTACTACTATTACTATTATTTTTACTATACTATTACTACACCACAAGCACACTCCACTTTTTCCTCATCTCTGGGCTGCTCTGGAAGCGAGTTATGAGTTTTGTCTGCGGCACCGCCAACTTTCGGCGCATGCCCCGCCCACTGTGGGCGGGGCTTCGCATAGGTCATGTGTGCTCTTTACATCTTGTCCCATGCCCTACCCATCCCCACCTTGACCCGACCTCCAAGTTGTTCTTCAGGTCGAACCGAATTTCCGGACAAGCAAGCAAACAGACGAAGCAAATTATATACCGTTGGTGATCGTGGTATCTCTGAGCCTCCAGAAGTTCTCATGTTGTGGGGCGTGAGTAAGAGCCGGAATTTACTGAAAAACAACCCTGAATGATCTCGAGAAACCGGTGCATCCCCGGCGACTTGTGTGTGCCTCGGCTTTTAAGCCACCCAGAAGTTACCGTAACGGGAGCCCTGCCTTGAAGATTCAATTCGTCATCAATTATTTGACAATGGAAAATGAAGCGTTTGCGGGTTTGGGTGGGGTGGTATCCGATCCGCGCCTCTCAATATTGCGCTGCCCCCGCCTATTTCTTGTCTCTATAAAAGGATTGGTCTAGACGTCATGAAGAATGAGCAGAACGTCATCAAACTTGATTATTTCTAATGTGTGCTTGCGATTAAAGTCATCTGAAGGTTTTCAGAATACGAGTACGACTCCCCTGACTATTCGCAATCGGACGATCGCCAAAATCGTCCTGAAACGCTTAAATTTGCCGAGCTCAACGTCTCTGCTGCTGACAATATGGTTAGTTTGCACAAGTATTTCAAGCGTATCTTGTTTTATTTCCAGCTTCTACAGCGCTAACCGAGCTCTAATATTTCTAATACTTCGTTTCTATCTCTTGGATTTCCACCTATTACCCCTTCCCAACTTCTTTTCTACTGTTCCACTTATTGCTCACCTTTGTTGTGCTGGTTTACGTCTGCATAAGGGAGATAAACTTCCTTTGCAAATCGCTTAACAAGGAGTAAAGTTAGCTGAAGAAGTAGATAAGATCTCGAGATCTTTTTTTTTCCATCAAGTGTTGTCTTCCATCTTCTTCCCGCCCTTTCGCAGCCACACGCTTGACTTTCAAGTTCCTATAATTCGCGGCCAGTGTGATGTACTTGTACTCCGAATCTCTTCCAATGGCCGAGATAGTATTTATGCCAAAAAAAAATGTCGAACTGTCACTTTGGATGTAGATGTTTCAAATCGGTCGGGAACAGTGTCTCAAAATTCATCCAGTAAGATTATTGGTGATTGGCTGAAAAAGTCAATGTGTATGTTACTCGCTAGACACTGTATGCCATGGGACTTTCGCTTTTAATCGTGAAAAATCGTCCTTCGAACTCCGTTCTCATTTTCATTTTCCTCGGTCGTTCGTTTGGTTTGTTGAACCATCTGGCATCTGACAGTTGACCACCAATTCGTCTTTTCGTCGTAGACTTTGGTGAAAAGCTTGCCTAGGGTTGCTTCTAATCGCTGAAAGTTCGTGGTTCTGCAGCTCTTGAAACCTCAGTGAGTTGTTCAGCTTTTCGACCGCCTCCTGTCAGACTGATCGGTACTCCGAAATTCGAACTTCTGTTTTCTTAACGTACCCATCCCATGAAGGTTCTGATCCTCGGAACCTCCGCTTTGAATTGTATGGGAGTAAAAAAGGGCTCATGACTGTTGGAGAATCCCCGACAAGGAGCAGGAATTACCCAAACTTGACCGTTCACCGTCATGTGGGAGAAAATTGTAGTGTTCCACTATCACGACTCCAAAAACATTCCAGCTGAAAGTTTGCCCATAGAGGTGTCTCGAAATCCCTGAGATCGGGTAGGCGTGGCTGCATACTTAAAGACACATGGTACGATCACACATAGTTTGGGTGTGCGTGACTATCAGCCCCCAGCTGTCGAAGCGTAGCGGTTTCCCCGTCCTAACATGCGCAGGAATGGAGATACAGGACCGTGAAACACGCTAATTCCTCCATGCTCCGCCCAATACCTTTTGCGGCGCAGACTCCCCACCAGGG